AGCTGCCACAAACACGCGGGGCAGCAGCAGCAGCAGGGCCTGGTAGCGGGGCGAGGGCGAGGCCAGCGCAAACTGGGTGCTGAACTCGGGGTCCACCACAATGGCGGCGCCGCAGCCGCGCCCGCCCGCGCCGGGCACGCAGCTGTCGCCGCCGCTGCCGCCGTCGTCGCTGCTGCAGCTGCTGGCGGCGGGGGCTGGGCGGCTGGCCGCGCCGCGCCGCGCGCCGCCGCACTTGTGCGGGTGCAGCAGCAGGAACTCGTGGCCGGAGCAGAAGTGCCAGCCGCCGCCGGAGCCGCCGCCGTTGCTGCCGGTGCGGATGGAGGCGCAGTGCTGGGCGGGCCAGCCCGCGCGGCGCAGCCAGGCGCACAGGCGCCAGGCCGCGCTGGTGCCCTCCTCGCTGCCGCGCGCGCTGCTGCTGCTGCTGCTGGCAGCGGGGCCGTCGTCGTCGCTGCTGCCGCGGCCGCTGCTGGGGCCGGCGCCGGCGCCGGCGCCGGCGCTCCAGGCGAGGCTGCTGCCGCGCGAGTTGTTCATGCTGCTGCCCGCCAGGCAGCGGCTGTCGGCGTGGGCGGGGAGGGGGGTGGCGGGGGGCGGCTCGTGCCGCGTCGCCCACCGGCCCACCTCCTCCACAATCTGCGGGGTGGGGCGGGGGCAGGGGGCGGGGTGGGGTGAGCTGGGCGCGGCAACCACCACCTGTGCAGCTTGAAGGGAGGTGGGGTGAGCTGCGCCCAGCGTGGGCGCCCCACTGCTGCCCAGCTGGGGCCCCGCTTAGTCCGGAACGTACCCAACCCGCCCGCCGCTGTGCCCGCGCCTGCCACGGGCGCCCACACACCCCAAGGCCCAGCCCGACACCCTGCCACCACGCCGCCCCCAGCTGCGCCCACCTGCTGCTCCAGCTCCGACTCGGGTGTGGTGAGGGCCTGGATGAACTGGCGCATGGAGGCGGCGACGTCGGGGGGCACCGCCGCGGCCGCCGAGTCGCCCCCGCCCTCCTGCACACACTCCCCCCGGCGGCGGCGGGTCAGGGCACGGCCTGGCCTGGCGCAGCGCGGCGCGGGCGTCGGTTTGGCGCCCACAGCCGATAGCATGGCAGGCCCGTCCAGATACAAGTCGCTGGCCCAGGCTCACCTCCCACGCCCCCGCGTCCTCGTTCATGCTTGGCGGAGGCATCAGCCTTGCAGAAAAGGTGGTGTGGAGGGCGAGCGAGCGAGTGTGGCGTCGGCTGAAAATATCGTGTGCGCGTATCTTCCGCGGCCTCCAAACGTCGCCTGCCTGCTCGCTGGCCTTCCCGGGCACTCCTAGAAGACCGTGCTTGGAGCGAATGGAAGGCGCGGGGGGCACAGCGCAGGAGTAGGGGGGGTCTGACCCCGGGCGGCGCCCTGCTTTCCCGCCGCCCCATGCGCGCCGATTGCCCTCCGCCATCTGGTTTGCAATGGGCCACACCGTGCTGTTACAGGCTGTCTGTCGTGTGCAGGAGAGATAGACCAGCGAGGAGGAACAACACAGAAATAGGGGGTTGCAGCAGGGGCCACGCCTGGCCGCGCGTTGCCCTCCCGCCGCCACGCTGCGCCCCAGGAGCAAACAAAGCAGCCGCCAAAGAAAACCAAGCGGTTGTCGGGGCTCACACCACGCTGTCATCCATGCGCGAGATCTGCAGGCAGGGCAGCATGAGTGGCGCTGAGCGCAGGGCAGGCGCGCAGCAGCGCCGCCACCGCTCCACTCACGTATTTGTCGTAGTAGTGGGCGGCCCGGTCAAAGTCGCCCATATCTGTGTAGATGTCTGCAGGCGGGAGTGGGTGGAAGCCAAGGCATGGCAAGCTGAGCCCGACAGGGGATGGGCCTACGCGTAGAAAGTGCCCTCCCCTGCCACAATCCCGCCACCGCAGCCACCCAGGCACCTCCGCCAGCCAGCGTGCCCCACCCGCAATGGTGCCGTACGCGTCTGCGTCCCCCACAAAGTCGCGGATCTCGCGCGAGATCTCCAGCACGCGCTCCAGGTGCTTCACAGCCTGCGCGCGGTCAGGGGGGCGTGCGTGCGTGTGTGTTAAGGGTGGGGTGGAACGGGGCAGGAGGCAGAGGGCCCTGTGGGGTGACAAGGTGCCTAGAGTGAATGGGTGGGGCGTAGGCGTGGGACATGCTATCATGATAGTCAGCACCACTGGAGGCGAGCGCGCTAGGCACAGAGGCAGCGGCAGCGGCAGCCGCGGGGCCGAGGAGCCTGCAGAAGGCACCCACGCCAGGCGGCGCACCTGCCGCAGCTGGCCCTGCATGCGGGCGCAGGCCGCCAGGCCGCGAGTGGCGCGCCGCTCCTTCACCCTGTCGCCAGTGGACTGCACCACAAGCCAGGGCAGGCAGGCAAGCCAGGGCAGTCAGGCAGGCAGGCAGGGATGTGGGCAAGTGACGAGCAGCCTGGCGTTCTTCAGGGCTGACCAGCCGTGCAGCCAGCGCTGGCTGGCTGGCCGACCTACATCACGGCAGGAAGGAAGCACCAGCCTCCCCACCTCCCCACACGCACCTTGGCCAGCATCAGCGCCTTCTCAAACCGCACCATGGCCCCGCCCGCGTTGCCATCCTTGAGCAGCCGCTTGCCGTCCTTGAGCGCCTGCAGCCGCGAGTGTTGGGGGCAGGGCAATCAGTGATGGCAGCAGACCACTGCCAGCGTCTGGAACCCTGCGGCGCCGCCGCACCCACACCTGCCCCGTGCACCGTCCCGCGCAGAGAGCTTGCCTGCGTGCAGTGCGCTGCCTCGGGGCCAACCTCGTCGTCGTCCTGGCTCATCAGGCTGACTGAGGGCCCGGTGCCCGCCGAGGGGGCGGAGGCGGCGGGCTCCGCCGGCGGCGCCGCCGGCAGCTTGGCGGCCGCCGCGCTCGCCGCCGCCGCGGCTGCTGCGCCGTTGCCGCCAAAGGCGGCGTCAGGCAGGGGCTGGGCGGGGGTGGGCAAGTAAGTGAGGCCCGGGGCGTACAGCGTGCCGGCGCGTGCCTGCTGCCTGCGGGAGCAAGCGTGGGGGCCCAGGAGAGGCTGGTGTGCGGGTGCAGGCAGCGCACAACAGCGTGAGATCCCCCGCTGCATGCACCCAGGCTGCGGCCGGACACAGCAGCGCAGGCAGGCCGTCGCCTTGCCTGAGCTGCGTGTTGATGGTGCGCAGCTGCTCGTTCAGGCGCTCCAGCTCCTGCTTGCGCCGCCGCGCGCTGATGCCTGCACACGGGGTGTGGCGTGTGGCGTGGGTGGTGTGTAGGGGGTGTGGGACGGCCCCAGCTCTTGGGTGGGGGGCAAGAGTCGAGCGGATCCCCTACATCAGGGTGTTGCGGTGCAGCGTGTCGTGGCGTGGCGTGGCGTGGCGCGCCGCCGCCCACCTCCCACCAGCGCCCCCGTCAGCGCCACGAACTCGGTGATGCCAACCACGTCCACGCCATAGGGCGTGGCGCACAGCTGGTCGGCAGGCGCGCTGGCACGCTCGCGCAGCAGCTCGTCCTGGTATGCGGCGCGGGCGGCCTGCATGCGGGGCGGAACAGGGACGGCCAGGGCCAGGAGCCAGGTGGTGTGGGCGGGTGGGGGTGCGGCGACGGGGTGGGGGATGGGCCAGGCGGCACGTGGGCGCAGCAGGGCACGTGGGGAGGCAGCCAGGCGCCGGCAGCGCTGCTGCAGCCATGCCCGGCCGCCCTGGGAGCCGTACCAGGTGCCACCCACCTGCAGCTCGCGCTGCGCCTCGCTCTCCCGCTCCTGCCGCAGCCGCAGCACGCGCTCCTCCTCCACAGCCAGCAGGCCGCGCGCGCCTGCGCCAGGGCCGGCTTGCAGGCGGGATGGGGCGTCAGCCAGGCTGCCGGGCACGGCAGGACGATGCCTGGAGGGTTCCATGCAATCATGCATCAGCCGAGCTGGCACTGGGAGGCGGCAAAAGGCAGGCAGGCGCGAGGCGCGCGCCGCACAAGCTGCGTGCTGTGCGGAAGGTACAGGCGTCGGCGGCAGGTGCGATAGCGCGCCACTGCACGGCCGTGCGCAGCCTGCCATAAGGTGCCGGATGGGTGCATCAACCTTGCGCCGCTGCGCCTTGCCTGTGCTCTTGAGGAAGGGCTCCGACGCGAGCGCGGGAGGGGCGAGCGCCAGCGACACCGCCGCTGCGGCACCCAGCAAGCCTGCCGCCAGCTTGCCCGGGCCAGCCGTCTGCTGCTGCTGCTCGCGGGGCGCCGCCCTGACTGCCTGGCCCTGCGCCCTGTTGGCCTGGCTGCACCTCACGCCGCAGCCCCGCTGCTGCGAAAACAGGCTGCAGGAGGTCTTCATTTGTGCCATTACCACTGCTGATAAGCGACGAACAGTGTGCCGGGCCGCTGACAAGAGTCAGCAAACTCACACCGACGAGGGGCTGCTGGGACGGCTGGCTACGTCAGGCAAATGGAGTGCGTTTGAGTGTGGTTGCAGCGCGGCGCCGGTGTTGCATTGCTGGGTTTTGCGAAGGATATCACGATGAGGTCGGCAGTACAGACGCGCCGCGTCCTGCGGCGGCAGGAGCGCCGGCGGCAAGTCCATCTTTGGGACTGAGCACTCCATCGGACCTTGCCTTCATTCCGAGGCCTCCTCTAGGCTCCTTCAATATCGGCAGCGGCATGGGGCGTGAGTTGGCCGCGTTGCATGCTGCAGGAAGCCCGTCAAGTGTCGCGTGGCGGGTGGCAGACGGGTGCCGCATCTTCCCAACTGCGAGTTGAGGCATGCACGCAAATAGCTGGTCCAACAACTGCAACACCAACCAGAAGATCCAGACTAGCTAAAATAGGGGATTAGGGGATTAGGGTCCAATCAGGTGCCATGCACGCCCCCAGCCAGTCGGCGCATCTGCCGCGAGTCGCCACATTTCCACCACTTCTTGTCTCTTCTTCTTCGTCTTCTTCTTCGATTCATCACACTCTTCTTCCTCCATCTTCTTCAGGCTCAGCCAACCAACACACAAGTCCTTCTCACCTGCTCTGGACTCGCCCGCCAACTTCTCCCCTCCCTCAACCCCCGCGGAAGCTTTTCAGCTTTGTCATTCAATACTGCATACCCGCAGCCTGGTGCCCTCGATTCCCTTGGCCAGCCGCCGCTCACTTGGGGCGTTTCAGCTAGCTGAAGCGCCGAGGCACACCGTCGAGCACTGCTGCCATTGCGGGAGGCGCGAAGCTCTTCTCCTGTGCGCACAGCCCATAAGAAGACCCCCCACCGCTCCCGACGCCCGTGCCGCCGCTGCCCCTGTTGCTGGTGTTGTGGCGGTGCTGCGGCAGCAGAAGCCGGCGTGCCCTTGCCGCCAGGAGTTTCCCAACCCGAGACCTGGCATCGCGCCCCACCCTCCCCGCCCGCGCAGAGTTTGTCGGCGCCATGACCATCACGCAGCGGCCACAGGTGTCGGCCATCCTGTTTGACCTGGACGACACGTTGTACGAGAACGGCACCATGCAGCACCACGTGGCCGAGAACATCCGCCGTGAGCACACACACACCCAAAACGCGTTGCTTTGCACCACCCCAGCCCCGCCCGCAGGCTTCACGCCGCCAACAAGCACCCTGCCCCCCCGCCTCCCTCCTTCACCCCGCAGACTACATGGCCGAGCGGCTGGGCATCCCCGCCGACGAGGTGGCGGAGCAGTGCGCCGACCTGTACCTCAACTACGGCACCACGCTGGCCGGGCTGGTGGCTAACGGCCACGCCGTCGACTACGCCGACTGGCACGCCGCCGTGCACGCCAGCCTGCCCTACGAGTCCTACCTGCGCCCCGACCCCGCGCTGCGCGACCTGCTCGACTCCATCCCCCTCCCCAAGTACATCTTCACAAACGCAGACGCCGCGCACGCCGCGCGCTGCCTCGGCCTGCTGGGCGTCGCGGGCTGCTTTGCGGGCGTGATTGCGTTTGAGGAGGTGCAGGCGGCGGCGGCGGCCGCGGGCCTGGCGCACCACGGCTGCCCCGTGGTGTGCAAGCCCAACCGCCAGGCGTTTGAGCTGGCGATGCAGCTGGCGGGCGGCCTGCAGCCCAGCACCACGCTCTGGCTGGATGACAGGTGGGGGGGGGGGGGGAAGCATGCGGTCAAGCGCCGTGGGCTTGCCTGGGGCGGCAGCATGGGGCCGCGTGTGACGCTGTGCCTGGGAATGGCAGCTGCGTGGCGCTCGCTGGTGCCAAGCGTGCATCCCTCTGCTGCCACCCACCGCTGCCGCAGCGCGCGCAACATCACCACCGGCCACAAGCTGGGCATGTACTCGGTGCTGGTGGGGCGCACAGGTGCGAGGGGCGGGGCGCAGGCACTCGTTGTGCCGCTGCGGCCGCTCTGCGGTGGGCATCGCCAGTGCTGGGGCCCTCACCTGCCCCGCTGGCCTTTCCCGCCGCAGGTGTGGCCTGCCCCTCTGACCAGCAGATCCGCCACATCCACGACCTGCCCACCGCCCTGCCCTGGCTCTGGGCAGGCCAGCAGCCGCCCACCGCGGCAGCGCCGGTGGCGGCGCCTCCGCTCGCTGAGCTTGCAGCAGAAGGCGGCGTCCCTGCACCGCTGCCCACCAAGGTGCCAGCAGGCAGCAGCGGCGGCGGCAAGCTGGCGGCAGGCAGCAGCGAGGAGGAGACGATAGAGGCTGTGCGGCCCTCCCTCGTGGCCGCCTGAGCTGCAGCGGCGGCAGCCTGCACCCCCCGCGTCCCGTACCTTTGTACCCACACCACACCTCCCTGCCACAACACCCAGTCCCGTGTGCTGTGAGCATCTGTCCCTGCCCGCTCTGCACCTGACTCTCTTGAGCGCACTGCTTTTGACAAACAGCACTGGCATCCTCTGTACTGCTCTCTGGCCCCCTGTAAATTCAATGCCCACGTCGCATCGTGTCTATGGCTTGCCAAGCAGTGGCATAGATGCATGCAGCTGGGCAGGGCACACAGGCCAGGCTGCATGCAAACACTCTCTCCATGAATGGCTGTACGCTATCCGTGCCGCTGCTTCCCCTTCTTCTTAATGGCCGAGGGGCGGCCCGCCTCCTCCTCCTCCTCCTCATCCTCATCCCCTGCGCTGCCCGGCTCGCCGCCGCCGCTGCCAGGGGAGCCGCGGCGGCGCTTGCCGTTGCGGCCAGCGCTGCCGTCCCTGCCGCCGCTGTGGCTGGCAGCGGCCGCACGGCCCTCGGGCTCAGGGCTCACGCCGGGAGCAGCCGCTGTGATGCTGCAGTAGCGGCGCAGCGCCGCCGCCACTGCCGCTGGTGGCAGGCCGGCAGCCAGCCCTGCGCGGAAGGCCAGCTGCATGTCTGCAGGAAGCTGGCCCAGCCGCTGCCCCAGCTGCTCCTCATGAAGCGCCGGAGCTGCTGCCGGCGTCTGCCGCCCAGGCACGCGCCGGAAGGCCGACCCCGGCGAAGGCAGCACCAGCGGGCGGCGGCGCTGCTGGGCCCCGCCCGCCCCACCATCGCCCGGCTGCTCTTGCTGGGAGGCAACCGGCGCGGGCTGCGCGCCCAGGCTGGCCAGCACACGCTGCTGCTGCGAGTCTGGCTTCCGGCCCTCTTCCTCCTCCTCCTCCTCCTGCTGCTGCTGCTGCTGCTGCTGCTGCTGCTCCCCCTGGGGCCCGCATAGCAGGCTCGCCAGCCGCTGCATCTTCTGCTGCTGCTGCTGCAGGAAGTAGTTGCTGGGTGGGGAGGCCGCCCGCTGCCCCTCCCCCTCCCCCTCAACCCC